GGATATTCGTGAGATCGTTCTTCACGGATTTCAAAAAGAGAAAACTGACCTTTCGAGCTTGGCTGCCGTACGATTATTCGGAATTGTTACCATTCACGTTGAGTTACGCTCACCAAGCGACAACTTCAATGTTCTGCTCTTGTCAGAACATTTCATGCGACACTCTGTTCGGTGGTTTTTTGGTACAAATTTATTGCCAATTCGAAATACTGGAGGAACGTCTGAAAAATGTTCAACAAGACGAATCTAATTATTCGGCGAAACAATGCGTTAAACATTATCATCAAATATACAAGTTTGTTCAAAACTTCTTTTTTTTTTTACATTTTACCAGTTTACAAAAGATAATTGCAAATATTTCAAATTATTGCAACAGATTCTCTAGAACGTTGAACGAGAAATTCAAGGTAATACTCTTCTTGCAATTTTGCGCGATCGCGTTCATACTCTGTTTCAATCTCTATCGAATGACCACTATAACGATGATTCCTAAATTATTGGAAGCGTCTCTGTATTTAATTCGCGTTTTAGTTCAGATATTGTACTATTGTTGGTTCAGTAACGAAGTCAAATTAAAGGTTAGTCGTTGAGGCGAAGAAACGAAGTGTAACGAAGTGTGTAAAATTTTTCCTAAATATTTTGCGATTTCTTTTTTTTTTTTTCCGATTACAGAGTCTCGAGGTGCCTGGCATGATATTTAAAAGCGATTGGACATCGTGGGATGACAAGACGAAAAAAATCTTTCTAATAATCATGACACGAGCGACACAACCTTTCGAATTTACCAGTGGCTATTTGGTGACGTTGAACCTTGAATTTTTCGTGGCGGTTAGTATTAAATAATACAATGTATTCTATTTTTATCCATGCAATTATTTATTATAAAAAATTTACCTTTCGTTCTTACGGCTGTAATGGATTAAGCATCTAAGAATGAAAGTGTCAGAAATGTAGATAAATTGTGGTTAAAAGTATAGAATTGTGCCAGTTCATGTCCTTTCGATAGTATTTTGACTAGAAATCATTATAATTAATGTAGAACAGAATAAATTATATTAATAATTAATTGCATGCATGGATTAAAATAGGACACTATATAAGTTATGTGATTTTGAAACATTTTTAAACTGCTATCTAATTCTAATTGAATATAATTTTATTAAAGTTAATAATTTTTTTTATTACAGCTAATAAAAGCTTCGTATTCCGTCTTTAATTTATTGCAACGAACTAAATGAAGATCTCCCCGTCTTAAAATTATTTATTCCAATCGAAACAGATGTATGTAGCTGAAAATGATTTTCAAACGAATGCTATTAATCCCATTAATCCGTTCTGTATCACGAAATTACAACAGATTTATAAATAAAACTGGTATAAATACTTACTCGATCGTAGAAAAAGAAATATTCTTCTATATTTATTTCTCGCCTATTGAAAAGATTCGCGCATCGCATTCTTTAACCAACTTATTGCTATAACGTACCTTTTATTTTACGAATCATTATAGAGAATATATATCGATATAATATAATATAGTATATATATATATATTTATATATATATTCGACTTGCAACATTGCATCGCGGATAAAAACTATATAATAAAACTATGAATGTATAAAAGTTAAGACCATTATTATTTAAATTGTACTTATACATAATATAATGCAAATGCAACTCACGATACTATTACAATAATGAATATGTATGTACCGAAGGGTAAACTCTGTACGAAATAACTCGATTCGAGGGCGTACGATATCGATATTTTTACGCAAGTAACATTCGAAACTACGTCCAACGATATATTATGGTATAAAGCTATACCCTTTTCGAATTTGTCCCTCTATACTTTCGATAATTGTTGTCGGTTGCGATAAGGTCTAATTGAATAAAAAAAAAAGAAAAAAAAGATACACGTAAAGATTTTTTTTCTTTTTCTGACAATGCGCATACTGCGATGGACATTTCTCTTGTTCGCGTTATGCGGTTGCTTCCCACCCTCGTCGTGGACAACGCGTCTCAAAAGATACTTGTACAAGATTTACGCGGTATTTTCGTTCATAGCGTTGAACAGTTTCTTGCTTGCACAAATATTGGATATGGTGTACAATGTAAAAGACACGGACGATTTCAGTGACAATTTCTCGGTAACTGTGGTAGTATTCGTCACATGTTTCAAACTGATCACTATACTTATACGCCGTGAGAACATTCTACTTTTGTGCAACACCCTAAAGCAGGAGCCACTTTCGCCGATAAACACGGAAGAATTTGAAATTTTCTTGAAATTCGAAAAGCTCACCGAGTAAGTTGATCGTCTCTCTTCAATTCCCTTTACAATCTGTATCTTTATTAAGTGAGATTAAATTTTTCATCTTTCTCTCTCTTTTTTTTTTTTTTTAATTTTTCCAGTTGGAACACGCTTGGTTACTTCGTCCTACTTATGTCTTCTTCGTTGTGTATACTGATGGGATCGCTTCTCGCAAATTTCAAGATCAGAAAATTAGCGTTTCGAACGTGGCTGCCTTACGATTATTCGACCGCATCTGCATTTCTGCTTGCCTTCGCTTATCAAATTGTGGTTGCAACGGTATGCACCTTCGCGTGTGTCGCCAGCGATACTTTGTACAGTGGCCTGTTGATACATATTAGCTGCCAATTCGAAATACTGGAGCATCGTCTGAAAAACATTGGATCGGATAAAAATTATAATATGAAACAGTGTGTTCGTCATCATAATCACATATACAAGTTAGTTTGTCAATTTATAGTGAATTTTCATAAGTTAAGCAATATATATATATATATATATATATATATATATATATT